CAAATATTAACAATTCAAATGTAGTCAAAAAGTTAACAATGTACAACTAAGTGGATCAATAGGAACAAAGTGCAAGTATATACATGGAGGGATTTTCACAAATACACAAAGCATTCAAAATGGATCTTACACTGAATTCATAGAAGCAGTTAACCTAATGGCAGTAATATATAAAAGAAAGGCTGCATATAAGAAAACAGTACAGGAAAAAAGAATTAGTACATAGAAAGGTATAAAGTAGTTCTAATCTTATGGCTAAGAAGGATGACAAAGAGTCTATATACCGATGCCATTGTGATCGATTCTGAGCCATGTCACCAAGAGTCTCCAACCATTTGTTGCGATAGTCACACGGACCCCAACCAAGTAGTCTGCATCTACCAACATGGCTCAGACTAGAATTTAGTGACTTCAAGCACTGATGCCACGTTTTGGTTTGGCCGCCCCTAACTTTCTTCCAACCATCCCGAACGCCGGTTAGCATTGCACATCGTGGTAATCGGTGTTCAGGCATACGTAACACATAGCCCAACCATCTTAGTCGATGAAGATTCACAACCTCGTCAATTGATTCACCATCCTTCCCCAATACCCTGCGTCTAACCTCACTATTACTTACCCGGTGATCCCAGCAGACGCCTGCAATATTTCTGAGGCATCTTTGGTCAAATACTAGTAGCTTGCGAGTGTCTTCTACTCTTAATGGCCATGTTTCGCTGCCGTAAACTAAAACAGAACGGACTGCCGTGCAGTATATTCGTCCTTTTATTGATAGACGGATATCTCGCCTTCGCCATAGGTGACGCAAGTTAACAAAAGCCAAACGAGCTTTTCGAATCCGTGCTGAGATTTCGTCAGACACCAACCCATTAGGGCTGATCAGACTTCCAAGATAAGTGGAATTGTCAACGCGCTCGACTACTTCACTCCCGATCCTTAGTTCAGGTGTTAACGCAGACCAGTCCTGAAGCAACAACTTGCATTTAGAGGGAGAGAAGCGCATTCCAAACATTCTGGCATTGTTGCTTAGTGCTACCAGAAGATTCTGCATTTCGTCAGCGTCTTCACCAAACAGAACTATGTCATCTGCGTATTCTAGGTCGATAGGTGGCCCTCCTGGAAGGAGATCAATACCCGAGAATTCAGTCGACGAGAGTGTTATTTTCATCAATAGGTCTATGATGAAGTTAAACAAAAGTGGAGATAGTGGACAGCCTTGACGGACACAACTTGAGGTTGTAAAAACAAATGACAGTTCGTCATAAACTCTGACTCGACTAGCGGTGTTCGAGTAAAGAGCCTTCACAAGGTTTATGTACTTCTGAGGTACGCCTTTCAATGACAGACACTGGCACAAAACCTCTCGGCCTACAGAGTTAAATGCTGCTTTTAAGTCAAGAAAGACCACCATTGTCGGACGCCGATAAGTATGCCTATGTTCTAGAACCTGACGAGTGGTGAATATGTGGTCGATGCAGCGACGACCATGTCTGAAGCCAGCTTGATTCTCTCGTGTTTGCAGTTCACGAGTCTTAGTTAAGCGTCTGATAATTATTGATGCTAGTATTTTAGATACTATATTAGTTAAACTAATCCCCCTATGGTTGTCGTAGGATGATTTTGACCCTCTCTTATATATTGGGACGATAAGTGATTGTGACCAGTCAGATGGAATAACGTCCAACTCCCAGATCTTAGCTAAAATATTAGTCAACCTGATCGCTTAAATTTGACCAACATCCTTAAAGACTTCTGGAGCCAGCCCATCTGGACCAGCTGCCCTTCCTCCATTCAGATTAACTACAGCCTTTTGAACTTCTGCTATAGTTGGGGGACCTACTTCAATGTTCCATTCACACTGTCTGGTAATGGAGGGTAGTTGTAGAGTAGCTGAAGGCCAGCTGAACTGTTCTCTGAAATGTTCCGCCCATCGTTCTAAACGTCTGGACTGAGAGCAGATGAGGGTGTCGTCTTTTTCCGACATAATCTCACTTACACTTGACTTATTAATTCCAGTTTCTTTTAATAGTCTGTTCTAATGGGTCTTTTTATTGTGACATTTTTGCGTCCAGTGAGGCGCAAGCAAATGTGTGCCCGCATTAAGGCATGGTCGGAGTCCAAGCAGGTACTCCAGAATGAGCGACGATCTTCTACCGACCCTCTCCAACGATGACTGATGGCAATATGGTCTATTTGAGTCCATCGTTGGTTTGGTGTAGGGGGTCGCCATGTTAGACGATGTCTCTCCTTATGCTTAAAATTAGTGTTTGCTAAAAATAAACGATTGTCTGAGCATAGTTGCAGCAGACGATCACCATTATCTGTTCGTTGTGCCGGAATACCAAAATACCCACCTATATGCCTTTCTGTCTGGCTTAAGCTAGCTACTTGGACATTACAATCACCTGCTATGAGTACTATGTCTGGACGTTTAGCTTTCTGAAGAGGTTCAGATAGATTTCTGTAAAATTCATCTTTCACTTCGTCTGAGCTGCAGTCGGTGGGAGCGTAGGCAGAAACGACAAAAAGGCAACGACGTGTGTCCCTATCCTTCCGAGTTCTTACGGAGATGTTTAGCCGAACAGCACAGACGACTGTTAACGGGGATCCACTCTAACAGTGCTTATTCCGCCCTCATGCTTAGTGCTATGCCTACTCCTGCCAGTCCACGAGAGCTGGCCATCGGGTCACCAGATACATGGAGGGTGTATCTCGTTGGCTCCCCGTGTTGCCCAGGTGAGGTCAAGTGAATGACCACACTGGGATCCTGTATACGTGTTTTGGAGACACAGCTTACATCAATGGTACGAGATTCTAGGGTTCTAGCCAAGGAAGCCTGTTGACCGGTTTGATATAGTATGCTTACGTTGAAGGCTCCAATGTGTAGTTTGGAGCGAGGTTCCAGTAGACCTGGGACAGTGTTTAGCGCACTAGAATCGTTGGACATGGTGACACTTGAGGGGGAAGCCGAAAGAGGAAGTTTAGAGGTGAAAGTCGATGTAGGAGGAGTAATAGGAAGTGAAGACGGAGGTTGATTATGAATACAGTGGTCTTGAGTGCTGTTAGAGGTATGAGGGCGGTTATCACTTCCCAGTTGCCCACACCGTGTAAGGGTTGTTCTGCAGGTACTTGAAAAGGAAATTGGATTAGAGGTGGTCTCAGTGATCTGAGATCGTGACCGCAGTGCCCAAGGGACAATTGCTGGAGGTCGGTCACACACGACCTTTTTATGAGTAATTTTTGTGTTAGCTCCGTACTTGTTGAGACCTTACCGCCAGAGACGGATAACCGTGGGATAAGGCGAGGTGTGCATTTTTAGGGTCGACCTTTTCTAACCCCACCCCTCCTTGTGGGAAGGCAGCATCGCTGTTATGCTGGTTGTCTGAAGGAAACACCTTACTGCTGTCACACCTCTGTGCAGTTAACAGTATGGCTTCGCCTTCGGACCTTGGGTTTATTGTTTTTAGTCTTGCCGCACCTTAACCGACCTGTCTGACATGGTAGGACCTTGAGGAACGGTTGTTCCAGCCAGTATAGCTCGGTTGCTTCATCACGATAGGCAAGCCCGACCACCACGTTAAGGTAGCAACAGCGGTCGGGCATAGGTCACATATTGGGAGCCGGATTAAGAAGGCTGTCAGGTCTGTGTGTGCGACCAATTGGCCGTGTACAATTCAGAATACTATTTTTACCTGACGTATGGGTCACATGTTCCATACGTTTATTTCCAAGGTTTGCGGTTGATTTCATCTTCTTCATATTTTGGAGAGAATTATGTGCTGTCAAACATACTTGTTATTGTTTGCGAGGTTTGAATATATCGACGCTAAGTGTGTTGTCAGTTATAGAAATGTCATGATTAGTTTTCCTGTTATCCGTTGGACAGTCACTGTAACTGTGTGTTGCACTAATAGGGATTTGGACTGTGTACTAGGTACCATATCAGTTGTGTATGAGACTGCTAAAATATTTTGAACTAGTTGAACATTCGTACTAATTGATCGGTAAAAGAGCGAGTTTACATTGGAACCTATAAATTCCACGGTAATCCATTCTGGTAGCTTGAACTTTATATAGTATTCTAATTGTCGTATGAATTAGGAATTCCAGGATTAACGCAATTGAATTAAGAAGACACAGGCACAACGAATGTACTGTATTTAGAATTCGAAATCAAACATTCATTCAGTACAAAGGTATCATTAGTCCATTCAAACACCACACTTTATCATGCCGAAAAGACACGTATATGATCTGTGTAAATGACTGTGCTTTACTCGAGTTGAATGGAAATGGTGTGACCTACTAGCCCAGGTTATTCTTTCGTCATAACTAGGTGAATGGACTATCTGAGTGACTGGTTAGAATAAAAACTTGTGATAGACAATGGAATATGTCATGGTTAACAAGTCGCAAAATACAATGTGTAATCTTCTCTGGACTCACCTATTCATGAGATTAAACCGATAAATTCACAACAGCCATCCTTGACCATCTTCAACAGACTTTCCAAAGATCAGTGATCTGTTGTTTAACGCAGAGATGGTCTAACCTTATGGATGATTTGTCAAGTGTCGTGTGACATTTCACTTGCCCTACAGATCATTATAATTACTTAGGTGTCAATGGTAAATGCTACGAAGTCATGGAAGTGAATCAAACATCACTATTCCTAGTAGTTCATCGAGATGCAACTTATTTTATGTTCAAGAGTTAGTTTTTATGTGTTTTTAATTCTCACTAGATATGTGTCAAATATTGTCAAATTTGTATAGATCATGAAAATAATAGTGAATTTCATAGTTTTAAGGAAGCAGTAAAGGAAAGCAAACAATCTCGTTAAGACTCATGGACACTTCGAGGATTTTTGAACTTTCGGATCGGAACCTTTCTTGTTTAAACTGTCAATCGTCATATTTGAGCGCAGCTACGACTGCTAGAGAATCGGTTCCGTAAAATGTCTAATTGTGCGCTGGGATCTATTGTGTAAACTATAAACTATGGAATTTTACTTCACATTGACTAAAAAGCTGAGCAAATACACCTGGAGCGTTCAGGTACGTTTGGGTATACATCATATGTTGCGTTAGTGTAACGCATATGTATCGCTACATTTGATGACACTTTTGAATATTCTTTAATCAGTTTATTTCTAAGTAGGAACGTCATGGGACAAGAAACATAGGTTTTGTATTTCAAGTTTGGGTCTAAATTGAATAATATGTCACCGTACACATTTACGGTGAGCGATTTTAGTCATCAAAAATATGAGACTATGCAACATTTAGATGCTGGTTATGCTATGTTTTCTCGTCTTAAGCCCCATATTTCACTGACTGGGAATTCTATCATTCGAGAGTCTTCAAGAATGCACAGTCACGTGCACTTGATACATCTTTTTCAAGCATCAGGTTAATTTATAGAATCAGTGTCTACTAAGTGAACAGAATTACTTCACTTTAGGATGTTCGAGCATTTTCAGTAATACAATGCTGTGCAACGAAAATCTGTATACTGCAAGTCCTTAGATTTATCAGTAAGTCTATCCATCGTTTTGTCTGGTGAAAAACTTGCTCTCTGGGTTTTCATCGTATTGTATATATGATAGTTGAGGCTTGATATCAGCCAACACAATAAAATAGGTCTTCCGTAATAACCTAGTTTTTTTCGCTGCACTTGGATATGGTATGCAAGGTAACCGGTAGTGTCACAATTTGCTGTTTGGCCTAATAGGATTGTCACTAAAAATCTGCTAGCTTCCAATCAAAGTTCCCTATTTGTTAAGAAGTCCCCTTCAAACAAACTAATAAGATGTTATGAGTATAAACAGCGTGGGAATTTGGCGTTGATTGTCGTTTCTAAACGGTAGTTTATTGTTTAGATTTATGTAGACAGCATATGCTGATCTCTACTCTGCGCTTATTAGTAACAGACGTAGAGAAATCAGCATCATGGGTGACGTCAGTTACTGAATTAGGGTTCAGTCGATAGACCAAGATTTCATCAACCTCTGCCGCCCGGAAGCCAATGTAGTACTGAGAACGAGTGGACTAGTCAGTGGGTTCAACGATACTATCCTACAAACGAACTAGTAAAGCAACACTCCAAATCTATCTACGAAACATCCACGACTTGACATGTCACGAAAGTTACTCAACTAAATGATATTCCCGCGTTTTAATCCTATAAGCGAACATGAGCAGCATATCCCACGCCAGTTGAAGAATCAATTATTAAACTCTTTCAGCACGTTTACAGTAAACGTGTTTGCAATATGATATTGTACATATTTCCTGAACCTATCAACGTCGTTACTTCAGATTAAATACCTTGGTGAATGCTTTTGTAACTGTAAATGTAAGTTCGTAGTTCCCATATTCAGTTTATTACTGCTAGTACAAGTTTTCCATTCATTTTCCTATGTATCCATCCCATAATTCCTAGTATTTTACTACTGTTGATCTTGTCACCTTATATCTATAGACTTTCAAGATGAACGAACCAACTGGTGTCGGGCCAACTTTTGCTGATGCATGCGATGATGGTAATTATTAACTTTAATCCTATCCTTTTCAGGCGAACTTATCAGCATCTGTTGTCTTTGTGGTAAAACGTTTTCCAGTCAGAGTCTACTGCACAAACATTTCGAATTGATGCATGAAGGTAACTCGTCAGAAGACTTAAAGCAGTTTTGAATTAGGTACAGAGATAGACACTGAACAATATGATCTAAGTGGATTTGCCGCTATGGGGAACGAACAAGGTCGTAAAAGTAATGATGAAGAAGATGCAAGTAAGATTCATTATTGTATTTTGAATAACTAGGATTTCATCACGTCTTGAGATGTGTGGTCAGCATTGCGTATCATCTAGTTATAATTTTTTACTTGAAATAACCGTCATCCGCACATTTCCCTACGTAATAACGGTTAACAGTTCTGTTTCTTTTAAGTACTGAGCTGAAATACGAAAGCATGAAGTCCTCATAATGGATGGAAACTACAGTCTTTTACAGTGAGCTAGTACTTACCGGAAATAATCTCTCCTAAAAGTAGTGTAGGTGGTTAATACTTGTATTTATCATAAACGCTATACTCATTTTAGCTTTCTCTATCCCTGAATGTATCTAGAATACTTTTATGTACAAGTATGTGACTGAAATCGCTCTATAAAATATCAACATGAAACAACCTCGTATTCCTAAATTCTCTCAGGTTTTATGCCATTCTTTTTAGTTTATCCCAGGAGTAATTTGTCTGATTACAAAGTGGTCATTTCTTTTCAGTTTCTCTAGTGAACAATTATAATACCAAACCGTTGGTTTCCTTAACACAACTTTTATAATATTTGTCATAAGAAAAATTAGCGATCTTAAGTGAATCAGTACCAAGCAGTTTCATCAGTAAAATCCATTTGCTGACTGACGATATTTTGAGCATACATTTTATCATAATTTATATTCATATCTGTTTATGTACGGCTCAAATTCTGGTTTGGTATATAACGAAATTGCGTTATTCAAGTGAACTTATATTATTATGGGAAAATCCAGGGCGAAAGGTTGTATTAATAATAAATAAATGGACAAAAAATAGTAATTAGTAAAAGATTCACTAAAGCTTCACACATTCTTACCAATTTCAACGTTGTCTGGTGTGTTGGTAATCACTGGCCAGCAAACACAAGGCAGTTTGATCGTTGTTGGAGTAACAAATCAGATGGACTATCCCTTTAAGTGCTCCACCCAGTGTTCAAGATATCTTCATGGGTTTATAATTTGTGGGCCATCAGTTCTGAGAGTTGCTTTAAGTGAATTGGAACAGCTTCTGACAGTAACCAGGTGCGGAGTAATTGGACATAGAGTCACAACCAAAGATTTAATCATGCTAGGTGAAAGACTAGTTGGCAACCCGCCGAAATTTGTAGGTGTAAACTGGCTAAATTAACAAAACGGCGAGTAGGGCCCCCTGCGGCCTTGCAAAACTTCGTGCTTAGAAATATTTAGCTTCTCGTGAAGGACTGATTCGTAATGAGCGGAAAGGTTTTGTTAGGGGTACCTTCGATTCGGTGGACAGGACTGCTTATTGAAGAAGGGTGTGTCTGAGAAGTTTACTAACATCCTAAAAGCCCTATCGACAACCACCTCTCTCCTCTCTCCCACTCGAGTAGTGGAGTTAGACAGGGTTGCCCAATCTCATTATTCCCCTTCAACTTTGCCATCTATGACATTCTGGAAACAGCTCTGATAGATGCAAGTAATGGCGGTGTGAATCCGTTGCTGGAGAAAGACTTCTCGACCTTGAGTATATGGATGCTATTGTCTTACTGTGTGATGATGCCCAAGCCATGCAATCCACACTTAATCAGTTGGCAATCAATGTCCGTAGGTACGGTATGTGCTTTGCACCTTCGAAGTGCCAAGTACTTTTACAAGACTGGCAGGATCCTGATCCTGTATTCACCCTGGGTAATGAGCACATAGAAGTAGTCGAGAGGTTTGTATATCCGGGTAGCTGCATAAGTGCCAGTAATGACGTGTGTAATCGGATCAATTCACATATAGTGAAAGCCGAGGAGGCTTATGTCAATCTGAGTCATCTTTGGCGCCTTCGTGATGTTAGTCTGGCTGTATACAACGCGTCGGTGAGAGCAGTTTCGCTCTATGCTTGTGAAACCTGGCCTCTCCGAGTTAAGGATGTTAGACAACTGCGTTTGATCATCGTTGTTCCCGAAGGATTGCTGACATCCAGTGGCAAAACCATGTTAGTAATGCAGAGGTTCGGCATCGTGTGTTCGGGCACAGAGACGATAATGTAATTGGTGTCACCATCTTGAAACACCGACTTCGGTGGCTTGGACATGTTCTCCGAATGTCTTCCCAGAGAATTCCACGTCGTGTATTATTTACCGACTCTGGGACTGGTTGGAAGAAGCGGAGAGGTGGTCGGTGTATGACATGGTGTCGTGGTATGAAAGAGAGCTGCAAAGGACTGGCTTCTGTTGGTCATTCACGACTCTATGTTTGGGATCCTAGAGATGGTGCTACACAGTGGCTAGAGAGGTTATCAGATATAGCTCAGAATAGAAGCCAGTGGCGATCCTGCTGTAACTTTCATTTACTTCATAAAAAGTGATCGTAACTTTTTAAACTGAAAGGATTCTTTTCGGTTGTACCTTTCTGTATCTCTATTATTATTTCGATACCATACACTAATTTGTGGTGGTTGTTGTCCTTTTTTTTTTTGCACTCACCTTACATTCTTTATCTCTTCCATTTCTCATTATTATTGTGTGGCTTATATGTATCTGGTGCCCCCTTGTACCAATATTTATCTGTTCAAATAAGTAAGAAAGTTTTCTGCTCAGGACGTGGATCTGTTGACTCATTTCTGCACTCCACCAAATACTGGGACACCTCCACACGTATTGCAGATCGAAAATCATTGTTTTGATATCAGATCTTTGATTCATTGGGAAAAACTGCTTTCAAACTGTTTGTTGAAGGAGGGTGTCTTGGAAAGTTTATTGACATCTTGATGGCTTTATACACAAACGTGCCAAACAGAGTGAGACTGTTCAACCACCTCTTTCTGTTGTTCCATCCCTACAATAAAGTTAAGCGTTGTTCCTCTGCAACTTTCATACTCATGAAATCAAAGGAAAAGTTCCAGAAGAAATGCGTTGTGCAGGTAGTAGGGTCTGTCACTTAACCTGGAGATGGACTTTTCAACATTAAGAACGCGTATAACAGTCTCACAAACTATCCAATTCGCATCTAATCAGTTAGCATATATTTTTAATACGTATGTCATGTTTCTTGAACCTGCTGAATTTGAACCACTTCTGAAAAACTGGCTGGAGCATATGGCTCCACTCAATTTCCTTTAAATCTGTTAGTAGTCGAAAATTTCGTTTGTTTAAGCAGTGGGTGATAAAATAACATGACAGGTAAAATCAGTCCACGCGTAGTGGAAGACAATACAGCGTATGTTAATATCGAACATATTTGGCACCGTTGTGATGCTTGCCTCCCTCTGTGTAAGGATCAAGTTTACAATTGATTAGTCGGGAGTCTTCCTGGGATCTTCAGCTACTTTGTGTTCAGTGATCATTACCTCCAAGTGTTTGTTATCATCAGGTGGCAATGTATTACTGATTCTGAGGTTCTGCAATGAGTATTCGGCCACAGTGATGGACGAAAAATGATGTCACCATCTTGGAAAAACCAGCAGCACATTATCACTTAACACCGAGGTGGTCGCTTGATGATATGATTCCTTAATATGAAAGATTCTTGCTCGGGATAGGCGTCTGTTGATCCGTCAAAACTCCTAGGTTGCAGTCCTAGGGATGGTGCAATTCGGTGGCGTTGGATGTTGTCGGATATAACTCATATAAACTTATTGTAATCCCAATTTAGTGAACTGAACCACCCTAACCAATTCTTACTGGCTGTACTTTTTACCGAGCTATATATATGACATGCTATCCTTGTTTCATTTATTTATTGTAAAACGCTATTGCTCTTCATTTGACAATATTATGACGTCACATATGTGAACCTCATGTGCTAGTATTGTTCCTCAATATGACCAAAAGACTGGCGTCTTCGTCAAATAGGACTATATCACCTGTATATTCCAAATCAACAAGTAATTCTGGTAGATCAATACCTGAAAAGTTGTTTAGATGGATATCTGTAAATAAGTTGGGTAAAAATGCAGAAAAAAGATAACCGTGACAAACAGTTGGGGTTGATAATCCTATTGACATTATATACTTATTCGATGATTTTCAACAATGTTGAACAACTGAAAAATTCCTCTTAAAAATAAAGTTATTATGTTTCCTGAGTTACTGTACTTCGGTGTGCCGTGTCACTCCTAACTGTGTCTATCTTTTCTTTTTCTATTCTTTGCAACAGATTTCCGAGTTCTGAATTGTGCATTTTGCAACAAAGTATTTACTAAACACTGTAATTTGAACACACATATCAAAGCAGTCCACAAAGGTCAGATTCTGTTGTTGTAAACACTTTTTGTCTGTAATGCGTTTTTACCCTTGTTTTCCTTCAATACCTACTCACCTGTTAGGGTTTTTGATTATTTTTTAGGTGTAAAACCGTTTGAATGTACTTATTGTTATAAAGGATTCACTCGAAACTCTGACCTCCATAAACACATCGACGCTGTTCACAAGGGTTGGCTAGTGTTTTCTACTTCAGGTAACCTTTCTATATAGGTCTCAAGCCATTCGGATGTGAAGTATGCCAGCGAAATTTCTCTCAGAAATCAAGCCTAAAACGACACATAGAAGCAATTCACGAAGGTAAGTCGATTCTCAAGGTAGATAAAGTAGCATAAGACTGCAGCTAAAATCTGATAGCTTTTGGCATATAAATATTTTTCGAATGATGGTTATGTCCAGCTTCTAGTTCTGCAAAAGTTTTGGTTTGATGCATTTTCATATCATTGTCTCGCACCATAACAATCTAGATGAAACAATCGACCAATTAATAGACATTTCAGTCTTCTGAAAACCCTCTTTCTTCCCTTTTTAGGTATGAACTTTGACGGCACCACTTCTCCAGATAGAAAAGGCTTTAAATGACGTTGAGGTCTGAGTATGTTTGTGGTTGAATTTAAAGATATGTCGTCACAAATTCCCTGGATTTCACCCCAGTGAGATTATAAACCTGAAGAATACACTAGATTACTTTTTATTTCCGTCCTCGATGAACATTTACAAAAATCTATGCTGTCTTCTTAATTTTAGGGCTGTCTAGAAGTAAAGCAAACACATTCTGAACAAGACTTCTGCTAAATAGATGGATTCATAAAGACTAAACTGGTTCACTGTTTTTTTTGGAATGTTCGTTCTTTATGGCGTCCCCAAGCTGTAGTATTCTATTGTCTCCAATAATTCTAAGTCGGAAAGCATGCGGCGTACGCAAGTAGTCAACTAAATTAATAGTCGAGTTCATACTTCTACTAGGATTATTAAACATCAACGCCAGTATGAAGTTGAAGATATATTCTAGTAACTCTGCTAGTTTCAAAGTGCACTACTTTTAGGTCAAGGTTTCTTTAAATCGCATCGGTTTATGAGAATCATGTGGAATGTACCCTATTTGAATAGATAAAGACATAGAATTTTGACATTTATGTGAAAGCAGTGATTTTGTGTACGATGTTTTTTAATCAGTTTTGCTGTTTTCTTTTACAGATCCTCGGCATCGCTGAAGAAAAACCAGATTGTATAATCCTCTCCAATTTTCATATGATTTCATGTTCAAAAATATACATTTATTATTCTCTCAGATTGTGATATTTCTAACCATCCGGTCCTCCGATCTTTGAGAAATAGGGAGCTGAACGAGAGAATGATTCGAAAGTCTCATGCATGGTAGTAAAGGATATATACTATAAGCAAACGTGATAAGAGCTCTGTAAGAATTACTGAATAAAGAAGTACTTAGAATAATATGCAAGGATAATTTATTTACAAGAAACATCTTATGTACATAAACTTTGACAATCTGCAGACATGTAGCTTCATCTAAGTTGAGATGCGTCACACCTGGGTTTTCCTGGTACATAGGTAGAAACCTGAAATGATAAAAATGGATGTTAGATTATGTCGCATATTGATTGGTAGACCTACAGAACCACATGGTTAGGAAATATGGGGATATTTCGGAAACCTACACGAAATAGCTGATAACAGATGATCCTTTACAGCCAAAGCAATTTGTCTATGGGAATAGTTTCTATTGAATAAATGTTATCATTATGCCTATTTAAACATAATAAGTTGTAAGCTTTTGGGTCTTTCAAATCCTCTGCGTTTGTAATATGCTCCTATTTGATTTCCCTAGCTTGACTTGAGTTTTTGAGATGTTAATTAGTGGTCAACCTGATACACAGCTCAGATAGTTTTAATCTAATTCATAACATCTATGCCGTGTATTGTCTATATCACATCACCATATTCACATCCGTTATCCGAGTTACGTCTGCAGTCATCGTGTTTCTAAGCTATGTTAAGGTTATGGAAAACGATTAGATCTACATCAATTTTATGCGGATGAAGGAAGCATGACTTACGGTATGTCTTAGTTGGTTAGCTGAAGTATCCGTAAAGGGAAAGGTCGAACGTAGCTCTGTATTCTGAAGAGAAAAAAACAAAAACTTAAAGAACATCATATGAAGCTGTTACTAGGTAAAGCTTATCTCACAAATTTTATAGAACTGACAAACAACTCGATGAGAACTCAAGGATAATAACTACCTAAAGAATTCCAATGCGAACTTACTAAGTGGCTTGTTTTATCGTCGAGTTCACTGTCGGGTAGGGTCATGTGTGCAACTTTCTTCAACAAATGAGGAAACAATTGCAATATAGCTTGGTATTCTCGGTTCAACTTGTCAAAGGCCTAAAATAAAAAAGTATCACAGTCTACATGTCCTGATTTATAAGAGAAGAGTGCTGCAATTTCGTATCGCATAAATATGTAGCTTCTTTTAATAGTGTTTGGTCACACAAAACGTCAATAGACGACCAGGTGGACGTCTTGCGCGCCTTAGTTGTTTAATACAACGGGGAAAACGTACACAAGTTCACGGACTAAACATCTCTACGCAAAAATATTAAAAAAGCTAACGGGTTTTATGCATTGACGCTTGTCACCAAAAACGTTCGCTAAACAACCTGATTGTGTTTCCGTAGTTTCTATTCCTCCTGTGGGAATTACGAGATAAAGTGACCGGGTTCAATGAAAACCATCAGGTTTATAAAGTATCTACAATAACGAGAGCAACGATGGAGAGAAAATCTGTCCCGTTAAATATTTTGAATGCCGACTACAAACTAGTCAGTCTGTACATTGACATATTGTGATTTTTTAGCAGTAGAGCAGTACGTTTGTTGAAGTTACCTAATAATTTCCTTTGGTGAACGATGCCTATTTACAAGATATATATGGTTTGGACAGAATCAGGGTTTTAAACCCCCACAGGTGGGTCATCCATACCCACCAACCCGGTTAACGTGCAAGACATTCGCTTTTCGTGATCAACAGTAGTGCCGCGAGAAGGCAGTGAGTAGAACTTTCCTGGTAGTGGCTGTATACGCGTGGTCATGTGAGAGCATTTCGAGAGTAAGAGCTAACACTCCCCAGCCTCGCCGTGCCAAGCAAATGCACTTGAAACTATATAAGCATCATTAAGGATACTCCGTACATTGTCAAAAAAAAAGAATTTATAACGAGGCATTAAATTACAACGGACAAGTATACTTATGTAAATATTACTCACCTGTCTGAAATTATCAAGTAACCGAGTTTGCGCTAGTAACTTTTCTTGCAATATGATGACCTTTTGATTGAGTTCCTAAATTTAGAAAGGGCTGGGTTAATAGTAAAAAATTCAGCATACACTAGCGAAATTTGGTAGGATGAGGTTATATTCTAAGATTACCTTCAATTGCAGCGCGTAGGCGCTTTATGTTGAAGAAATTATTGTGACGCACTGAACCGTAGTGGTTCATTACAATCACGTTCCTACTGAGATACTGTTAAAAACAAGCAAACGATAAATTTCAGATATATTCAGTCAGTAATGTGACAAACTAGCCAATCAATGATGGCCACAAAAATACAATCCGGCGTGTAAAATGATGGAGAAAATACATTACAATAAGTCATACAATACAACTAAGTAATAGTGCAAATAGTTCTGGATCTTTCATTAAAAGGGGAGTTAAGTTAAAACAAGGAGCGTTTAAATGCCACAACTTACTTCAACTTTCAATTTTTCAGACTTCTTAGTCTAAAATTCGAATTTTGAAAACGTTTTAATAAACTTATCAGATACAGAACTATTTCCCAGAGATATATATCAACTACCGCGATACTGTAAGCGACCTTTTTCATGTCCTATGCCTATCTTCAACAAAACTAATTTTGTTGTTTTAGCAAATCCAAGCTATATTTCGAAAAAATCTACGATCGAACACTAGCAACCTATGCAAGTTTCTAACTATGAAAGTCCAAGTTTCATAGACACAAAATAACAGAGACTGATGTAGCACTATACACTTGCCCACTAATTGATAAAGAGGACATCTTAAGTAGCAAATATCAGTTGACAGAAGCCAAACATGCCTCTTTACCTAATCTAGCAAAACATACAACTATTTGACTTCCTATAAATAGACTACAAAATGATGCGAACCACTCCTGAAGAGATGCTTTCAAAGAGAACGTATGCCAAACATCCTCACGTCTTAACTGTAAATATCTCCATCAGAAATAAGTGAGAACGTCTCTCGATGGGAGTTGATATCTACAGAAAAATTGTGACGAAACTAAAATAAATAGTGAGAACGAGTAGTTTTGACAACCGCCAATTAACGTAACTAGTCCATAAAACGACTTACCAAAATCAATATTGGCTTAAAGTCAAGAGATCTTATAATCATGCACCAAGTAGTTTGCCTGCAGCTAAAAGCCTATCGAAGGTTAAAAATTTATTCTGTACATCTACGGCCCTGTCTGAAATAAGCTTATTTGATGGCCTTACATAGTGTTGTTTAAAAAATAAAGAATTAGTAAAAACACAGTTAGTTATTGGGGACTATCAATACCTTGAATAACTTTTTGAAAACTGATTTCCACAAAACGTTCCCTATCGATTTTCTTTAGATTAGGGTGTGGTGTTTGAATGAACTAATGATAACTTTGTACTTGTTGAATGCTTGATTTTGAATTCTAAATACAGTACATTCGTTTGTGGTTATCTAGTAGTTCTTGATCCGATTACGTTATTTCTGGGATTCCTAGTTCATACTATAATTCAAATACTTATAAATATCACATAGGGTTATCATTTACTCAAAAGTTTGAACAATCAAGCAAGCATTTCGGAGATATAAACATGAATAACCGTGTATCTAAAAGCATAATTCACATTATACTAACATTAAAACGGGACAAAAATCACTTTTACACAGGAAAGTGTTTTAGATACTTGACTGGCAAACATGCCGATGTAAAATAATCGAAATGATACAGTAAACAGATTTTTTAATAACCTACCGACTCTTGTACAGATTGTAATGTACAATTCAAATTGGCAATCTGGTCAACAAGTTGGTAATGAGTCATAGGACTACACAGTAAAGAATGGCCAACAGAAGTAGAAACTTCAGAAGAACTAGGTAAGGCAGTTTGTACGTACGGTTTTTCTATGTCTTCGAAGTTCACTTTATCCCCATGAATACGTAACGGACTACTAAAGAAAAATCATAAATTTGAACAAAATTTAAATCAGACTAAACCTAAATATTCTTATCGGATATTTTATGTTTAATCAATCACTTGACTATAACTTTATTGCAGTTAGGTTGGTAAGAAATAAGTCTTCAGTTGTATTTTAGCAGTAAAACAGTGTTTTATACTAATATCTCCATGATGCAATGAAACACAAGATATTTTGAGGAGAAATAGTATTCATTGTTCTTTCACGTTATTCAATATAATTTGTTTCTTACTGTCGTGTCAATTCATCTGATCTTTTCATCTAATACGCTACCTATTTAAAACCAACAGGATTTTCAAACATGTATTAACGATCGAGTTTGTAATAAAGCCATGTGCACTACTTGTACTTTTCAACTGAAACATGAGAGCTAAAAGTGAATGATGTGGAAAAACAACAAATAACTGGGAACCAATAACCGGGAAAGTTGGTTGTGCGCAGAACCACCGAATGAAAAATGGTGTTGAGTGTCAAGTTCCAACCACGGATACAAATCAGTCGAAATTGAAAAAAAGAATTGATTGACTTCAAATTTCATAATGAGGTAGTGATTGGGTTCGTGATAGAGCACGAATTCGGTATTAGCGGTTTTCATACATTAACATTATCTTGTTCTGTTAACTACAAATTCATTATAAAATACCTTGTTCGTTTTTTTAACTCTTTTGTTATTTCAGAAAACTGTGCAGACGCAAATGATTTAAAAAATTTGTCTCTACTCAGTTTTGATCAACTGAATATATTAAGATAATATTAACATTTGCACTTTACATATGTATTTTTCCTAAGAATCCACTGTATGAAAAGTGTACTGAGTTCAGGAAATTAATTTTCTATATCTAAAGCTAATAATAGGAATTATTAGGAAAGAATCTGCAAACATTTGCAAACCTGTCATTTTCTTTTGCAGTACTGACTACTGTAAATCCGTGACAACATAGTGTAGCTTAGCAATAACATACGGACCCTTACTTCATTCTATAATTCACGTAACGTTCTTTGCTTATCTTGTGAGGGCTTCGATACTACTTTTAAGGAAATGTGACAAGTCTTGATAAAATAAACACAGTTTAATTAAATGATGACAGTCCTTGAACCCCTGGATAAACAAACTTCAGAAAAAACGATTGATCAATTACGTTGTCATACAGTGAAAGAATTTACCGACTGAACCAATCAAATCTAAGTACATAAAAACCATTGTATATATAATTGGTAATAAACAAAAGTAACTGATTAGACAATAATATTATTTCAAATTACAACAGAAAGTTTGATCATTATGTCGAACAATAAATTAACTGTGAGGTGTATGCTAAGCACTTTTGAAGCTAGACAAATAACTATCACGGAACCATGTCATTTATGCATAAACATAACATGGTTTTCCTCAATGAACTATTTACATGATAAGTAATGGAAATGAGAAAATATGAGCAACCTTACCTAGTATTTGTACAATTAAGCGTAGAAAGTGCTCTTCGGAGTGTTCTTGACCCGGTATCTGCTTCATTTTGATAAACTTCTGACGTTTGTGTTGATTTACATAATTCAGATGTAACAGCTCGGATAGACCGGTGCCCAGTGGACGAGCGACGATCAGTTAACTTCCTTCGTAAAAGATGAAGATTAAAAGATCAGATTACCGAACTCATGAATGAACGACATACGATAAGATGGTGAAATAGGACACCATACTTGATTAACAGACTTTAGATTGAAATCAAAGTGTATATCGAATTACAGGTATATTGATGATCCTTAACGACAAATATATAAAATCTTGGACAGTCCGAGTATTTATATTTTTAGTAAAACAAGTAACATAAAAATTAAATTAAATTACCGAGATTATGTATAAGAAGAGAAAGTAATTGGTTGACAGAGTATTAAGGCATTTAGCTTTCTTAGAAAATTCCAACAATAATAAACTTCCGAGAATTATCTTTGTTTAATAACTCACCAAGGCATATTGTTGTGAATGATTTAACCGTCGTAACACTGAAAGTCTATACGAGTTTACTATTTGAACTCATATCGCTAAGTGTAATCCTGTCAAACGAACTGAGTTATTGTTGTGAGGTTTAAACGTAACAACCGTAATTTATTTTGAAAAGCACAACTATAATAAAATTATACTAATAGATTTTAACGGACAACACTTGGTGGTTAAGATGTTGTTATTTTCGGAGATAACTGTACAACACAAATTAATATGAGGTGGAGGCCTAGTGAAAACCATAGTCAGTTAGTTTAGTGCCCCATAGTTTTAGACAAACCTCCCAGTTGACGAAAATTACCTTTATAATAAGCGATAAATTTACCGAAACCCATGTATAATTTAACAACTGATGATTCTATAATGATAGTTCACAAATTAAAATTAATTATATTTTGTCGATTGGAGTATGTTTTTTCATCGGTAATGTTTAAACACACTATTACAAGATGGTCAGTTATATTGGTACTATTACTTTCACGATATTGTTTCTCGATGTTACCTTTAGAGAAAAAAAGTACATGCTTAAAGAATAAATATTCCTATAAAACACGACCAAAACATTCTAAATGTACGATTTTCATATTTTAAGCATAAGTTGAAGTTTTTGGTTGCGCTGTCTGAAAGTAGTTCTTATTGTTTCTGACTTGAAATCGGACGTAACTTTTCAACAATTGATTTTTATGGGATTTAGTGGCCTATAATATATATCAGCTATAAAATGAGCTGAGAAATGTGTGGGGAGTTTAAGAGATAATTAATAAAAGATACCTTCGCAATTGTAGGACACCATCTTCACGAATGGAAATTAATTCTCTAAGCTTCGCTGCCTCATAAGCCTGACAAGTTCCGGATTCAAACATAATTGAAGATGCTTTTTGTCGTAAGATACGTAATTCGGACATTAATTCTATCAAAAAATTTCGAAAAAGAAAAACTAAAAACATGCACATATATCTTGAATGAAGTTCTTGCTAAATAAAGTTGAGAATTTGCACTAACTTACTGAATCACTTAAAAATAAAAAGTCGTTAAAATTAAGCGAACTGTAGATAATGATGTGCAAAATTGATTGTTGTGGTTCATCACATAACAAATTAAGCAGTTGCACTTCCCTTCTGACGTGCGTTAATATCCTGATAACAACGATGAAATTCAGTTCAGCTGCTATAATACGTAGTGGCTCTGCCATAAGTACTTGTCTTTCGAGCAGGAGACTGTATGTTCATATACATTTTTATCCCCCAGGGTTCAAGAAGCCTAAGATCATCATAAGAACTCTTATAAGATGTAGATAGAAACCGACTTTAATGAATTGAGTTTATTGCGTAATAGAGGATTACTTTTATGATGCCTGTTGCTCTTACATCAGCACTTAAAGAAAAAAGAATACGGTATGGATTCGATGTCTATCTCCTAACTGTGACGTTTTGGAGTAGTTGACAAAACGTTTAACCGGAGTTATTTTAAATAAATATAAGGATAACTAAGTTGTAAATTCAAAAACAAAATAAATAGGACTTTAAATAAACGTTGTTTGTGATATACGGATAGATAAAAAAGTATAGTAAATCTGGGATGGTGATTACTTTTTTTCAAATGAACAAATAGTATCATGAAGTGGACTCTATTTTTTACTACAACAGATTACTGGTTTATGTCTTAAAAAATTATTCACACAAATGATTCAGATAGTTCATGGAAGCTCTGTTACAAACACTTTGGTTGATATATATATATATATATATATATTAAAGACAAAGGTACACATATAAATTACCACGAATCAATCGACTTTTCGGATCTTCATTGACCATCGCTGAATTGACAATACATGACGCCTTTTTGGCATAACTAAAAATATACAATGTAGTAGAAATGAGGACTTTCTAAGTATCTTTGCAACAAGTTGTTAAAGAACATGAAAATGACAATTCGTTCAAAAACGCTTCAATTCAGAGCAGACGGGTTAGGAGAAAATCGAAACAGAATTATCAGTAATAAACGAGTCACAGTAACCAACAAAAATCAGCTGGTTGGTGGACTACAAACAAAACATTCTTTCATCATTCAACCATAAATGAGATCAGATCTAAATTGAATTAAAACGACGATAGCTCCTACCGTAAAGTGCTTAATGTTTCGTCGTAATGAGTTTGACAGGGGCTGACAGTTGCCAGCATTACTGTGACTGCATTGCCTCCTAAACTATCCTTCAGTAACCTAAAACGAAAAAAAAACAGAACGAAATAAAAGCATTATAAACCAACAACGTGAAAGTCGATGTAATGAATTTAAAATGTTTAGTTCAACTGCACAAATGTATCGAAGTGAACGCTTGACTTTACAGCATAAACAGTGAATGTCACAAAAATCCAACATTAGCAATTTCGGTGTGACTATAATATATGGACTACCTTTGGGCGACGCTGAAGTGACCTTGAGTGTCCATCTACAAACCAGGACCAAATGAGGGTTATAAACAAGCATGAGAAAATACAATTATGGTTTGCAGTTGATGGTTAAGGTTAAGAATCAGATTCAGGGTTTTCATCACGAACTGATATCAGCTACAATGCTAAAACTCTATTTAGCCAACTGAAAGCATAAATTTCGCGCCAAAATCAGAGACCAGGTATCTTATACCCGATTGATCCATCCATAAATTATAGTCTCGTCGCAAATTCTAATCGCGTTTCTGAGAAATGCATAGAGCCATGCAACTATAAAGATGTTATCAAAATCACGAACTCATCTAGGTCACATCACCATTTAAAACCCAGAAGCTCTGGATGACCTTTTGGTTCAAGCATTGGACTCCTTATAAGTACAAACTGACGATGAAACCTCAATCTAATGCTTTTGAGTTTTTAATGATGATCGAAGTTAGATCGATCCATGATTCTAATGAAATTCAATAACCTCCACAGTCCTATATCGATAAAGATATTAGTCAGAAGTTTCAAAGAGTGAGATTAAAATTCTGAAATACAAAGATAGCTTATTTTTGAGAATATTAAAGAATGATGGTAAATCAGTTGATGAGGTTGTGAGCCCCCATCGACTGAGATGGTTGGGTCACGTATTACGCATGTCCAACCACCGATTACCACGGAGTGTTGAGTAGTATTGGAGACAGTTGGAAGAAATTGAATGGTGACCAAAACAAAGCGTGAAAACAGGCCATAAAGTCATTTCTGCTTTGAACCATGTTGGCAGATGCAGACTACTTGGTTCGGGTCTGCGCAAATATCATGACCAATGGTTAGAGACTCTTGGTGACATGGCTCAAAATTGATCACAATGGCGTCGGCGTATACACTTTATGTCTTCCTTTAAACGATGGGATTAAAATTATTTTACACCTTTCTTTCTACGAACTAATTCTTTCTTCCTGTACTATATTCTTATACACAATCTTTCGTTCAAACATTACTACCATTGAAGTGATTGTTTTTATGAATTTGGTGTACATCTTGTTGTGCTAATGAGGTGTGGCAACTTGGAACAACGCGTATATATGCGTGGTCCTACCTTGTAGATGACTGACTGGCTCATGTTGTTCCACGACGGTACGATAAAACTACAGTGCTAACCCATGATAGTCTATTCAATTTATTATTATTGTGCTTGTAGGTATCAATACCCAGGTTTGACTTGATACTTTCGAATAAATTGAACATTGGGTATATTGTTTTAAATAAATTGATATATTGGTAGTATCCCAATTAGCAGAAAAACTAGATTTTCCGACGTTTCGTGACTCAGTGTAAGCCACTTCTTCAGAGAATAAATAAATAACCAAATCAAAATTAATCCAAGTTCAAATAATACAAAGGAACAACGCAAGAATATTATGTGGCACAGTCCAAAAATGGTAGTTCACTGAGTTCATTTTCGGAAGTGTATTTTATGTGCGCTGAGAAAGTATTTATCATTTTATAAAAAAAATTTATGACGGTTCCTTCATTGTGACAAAAGTGTCATCTACAAATCTGATAAGCGAAATGTGAGGTTAGCTGGTACTTCCAAAATTACGCAATTCTGTATAGGATATGAAAAAATTAACGACAATCGATTACAGAGGCGGTTCCATAGCTACTCCGTTAGTTTGTTTATACCAAGTTCCTTTGGACGTTAATGAGGTTGAAGTCATGCCGAATTTAAGGGATTTCATTATTAAGCTAATATTTAATGGACATCTTGCTAGATAGAATATCATCATCTATCAAGTCATTGTTAAAATTTGGAATTCTAGTCTGTAAAAATACAAAATCATGGAATACCATCGTTTCGTTATCTTTGGCGGTTAGTTCTGAAAATTTTGACTTGAAATCACAGAAATATTTAGTGATACTTTTTACGTTATTTCAAAGATGTTTCAGTATACCACTTTGATATTTAGGTATACTATATATCGGAGTGTTTTTGAAGTTTATGTTTTAAAGGTATATCAGGTTTAAGAATATTTGGTAGTCCTTACAAACGGAATGTGCTGAAAAATTTGAAATATAAAGTAAATCATCAGGAGATATGAGCAAATGACTCGAGTTCTTTAAAAAGTTAGCATGTATCTGATTTAACTGTAATTATAGAGAGATATTTTAAGTCTATGTGTTATACATGACAGTCGTCTGACTAAACGGAACAATAAGGACTCGGAAGGATAGGGATACTCGTCGTTGCCTCTTCGTCGTCTCTGCCTATTCTCCCACTGACTGCAGCTCAGATGATGTAAAAGATGAGTTTTACAGGAAGCTTTCCGACCTTCTCCGAAAAGCTAGGAGCTCTGATCTAGTAATAGTGGCTGGTGACTTTAATGCTCAAGTAGGTAAACTAAGCGAAAGAGAAAGACACCTAGGTGGATCTTATGGTGTCGTGGCTCAGAGAACAGGTAATGACGACCGTCTGTTGCAGCTATGCTCAGATAACCGCCTGTTCCTTGCAAATACTAACGTTAAGCATAAGGAAAAACATCTTTTGACATGGCGACCCCCGAATTCGTCCCAAAGTTGGACCCAAATGGATCACATAGCTATCAGCCATCGATGGAGAGGCTCGATAGAAGACTGTCGCTCGTTTTGGAGCACATGCTTAGATTCAGATCATGCTCTAGTGCGAGCGCGCATTTGCTTGCGTCTTACTGGACGTAGGAAAGACGCTGCAAGGAAACCTCTTAGGGTTCCACTTAATGATAGCCAGGCTAATAATATACTTCACGAACAACTAGAAAAGCAGTTAGGCAGCCATGTATGTGATGCCTACTCCGAGGCAGCATGGAATGATATCCTGAAAGCTGTGGAAACAGCAGTGACATCTGCTAGTACGGTAAACCATTAGGTTAGGGAGCAGCACTGGAACTCAGCAGCATCTACCGCACTGTCAGATGCTCGAAAATTCATTCCATCTGGCTCTGAACATAACGAAGAGCGGAGTCAGCTTAAGCGCAAGCTGACAAGAAGCCTACGCAATGATCGTGAACAGTGGTGTGTAGCAAAAGCAAGAGAGATGGAAAAGGCAGCGGCAATAGGTAATAGCAGACAATGGTTCAGACTCGTTAGGGAAACCGGTATTAGGAAACCGACTGTTAGCGAAACAATCTCAGAGAAAGATGGACATATTATACATTCTCAATCCAGGAGTTTGGATCGATGGGCGGAACACTTTAGGGATCAGTTCAGCTGGCCTTCAGCCGCACTTCGGTTTCCCACGATCTCCAGTCAATCTGAATGGCAAGTTAATGTAGGTCCTCCGTCCCTTTACGAAGTTGAAAAAGCCATAGGAAATCTGAAACGAGGGAGAGCAGCAGGCCCTGACAGGTTTACTCCTGAGATTTTTAAGGATGGTGGTCCAGCATTAGCAATGAGATTAACTGAAGTCTTAGGTAGAATCTGGGAACTGGACGTAATCCCGTCTGACTGGTCTCAATCACTGATTGTGTCAGTTTATAAGAAGGCACAAAAGTCCTCCTGTGACAATCACAGAGGGATCAGTCTGACTAATATAGTGTCTAAAATATTAGCTTCAATAATACTTCGACGCCTAACTAAAGCTCGTGAAGAGCAGACTAGAGAAAACCAGGCTGGTTTTCGACTTGAACGTGGTTGTATAGACCAGATATTCACGCTACGTCAGGTCCTAGAACATAGACACACATTCAGACGCCCCACAATGGTAGTATTTCCCGACCTTAAGGCGGCATTTGACTCTGTTGATCGTGAGGTTTTATGGTAGTGTTTGTCATTGAAAGGAAAACCAAAGAAGTACATTAACCTTATAAAGGCCCTCTACTCGAACACAACTGGTCGAGTGAGAGATTATGGCGAACTGTGATCAGAATTGATTACCTCAAGTGGTGTTCGTCAGGGCTGTCTACTCTCTCCATTCTTGTTAACTTTGTCGTTGACGTACTTTTACAGATAACACTTTCCTCGTCAAGATTTCCAGGGGTTGAACTTCTACCAGGAGATTCACTTGTTGACTTGGAATATGCTGATGACATAGTTCTATTTGGTGAAGTCGCAGAGTCTTCTGACCACAATAAGCAACAATGCAAGCATGTTCGGGATGCGATTCTCACCCTCGAAATGCAAAATGTTGCTTCAGGATTGGGTTGCATTGACACTCGAACTAATGATAGGGAGTGAAGTAGTTGAGTGTGTCGACCGCTTCACTTATCTTGAAAGTCTCATCAGCTCTTGTGTTCCAGTGTATGACGAAATTTCAGCACGGATACAGAAGGCTCGACTAACTTTTGCCAACTTGCGTCATTTATGGCGTAGGCGAGATATCCTTCTATCAACCAAAGGACGTGTTTACTGCGAAGCAGTTCGTCCCGTCCAACTTTATGGCAGTGAAACATGGCCGGTAAGAGTAGAGGATATTCGTAGGTTACAAGTATTCGATCTTAGGTGTCTTCGAAATATTGCTCGTATATCCTGGGACCATTGAGTAAGTAATGTAGTTGTTAGGAAACGGGTATTAGGTAAGGATAGCAAATCAATTGATGACGTAGTGAAACTTCATCAGTTGAGATGGTTGGGATATGTGTTACGTATGTCCAACCACCAACTGTCTCGACGAGCGATGTTTTATGATGTAGGAGTAGGTTGGAAGAAATCTAGGGGCGGTCAAACCAAAACATGGCACAAGTCCATGAAGTCACTGACAAGTGGACTGAGTCATGTTGGTAGGTGTAGACTACCTGGTTGGGGACCGCGAGA